AAATATATAAAACTAATTACTTTTATAAATACATCAATATGTAAAAATAGTAAAGTTAATAATTCATTTCATTAAATACGGATATTAAACGTTTGGAGTCGTAGGACATATGTTATTCTCAATAACCAACAATTTCATAATACATAACTATAGTTCATGGTTTAAGGTTAGTGCATAGGGTATACGGTAGTGGACTCGTGGTTTAGAGTTTGAAGTCATAGGATATATGTTCTTCTCAATAACCGAATATAAAATTGACTCAACTTACATTCTTCACATAACATACGTTGTAGCTTATTCCAACAATTTCATAACATATAACTATAGTATAGGGTATAGTCGTATAGGGTCATGGTTTAGAGTTCATTGTTTGCATGTTTGGGTTATGGAATTATGGTTAAGGGTTGAGGTTAGTTTTAGGGTTAATTACTTAATGTTGTGATTTAGGATAATGTATGGTTGATGGTTAAGGTTAGTTTTATGTTTCAGATTTAAAAAGGTGTTATAGGGTTAGGGTTTAGGGTTTAGGGTTAGGGTTTCTTCACACTACAGGAAAACTAGTTTCTAGTCACGGGATATTTAATACGGTAACTGTTACCGTATTAAAAACTATACTAGTAATCGCGGGGAAAAATCCCATATTTAGTTGTACAATTCTAATCACGGTAATTAATTTGTCTGATTTTTAGTCTACATTTCCCGTGATTAAATCTTAGTCACTTGTTATTTCCCGTAAATAATTTGACAATTTAATTTTGAGAATAATTTCTCAATACTACAGTGGCAGAATTCTCTTTGGCTCTAAAAATTTGGTTGATCCAAAATTTTACTTCCCTCCAAAGAAATTCCAGCAGAAATGAACCCACTTCATTTGAGTTTTCACATTTTGCCTTGCGCGCCCAGTGATGGAATTTTACTTCCCTCCAAAGACATTCCAACAAAAAAAACCCGCCTTCATTTGAGTTTTCACATTTTGCCTTAAGCGCCCAGTGGTGAAAATTTTGGTTACTTGAACCATTGCAACTTGGTTATCTTCCTCTCTCTCTCTATTTTTTCTTCTCTAGAGAAATCGAGTCGAGCGCCTGTCAGGCTGCCAATATCGGCTACTCTAGTTGCTTCTCCTTCCCCACTGATTCCTCCTCCTTCCTCCCTCCTTCCGCCGTTCTCTAAACCTCCACCAATTCCTCCGCATCTGAAACCCTCTCTCTTCCTCCGCATCTGAAACCCTCCGCTCCACTTCTTACTTCGCCGGCAAATCGATGGTGGCAGCGGGGATGTGTTCTCCATTCCCAGAGCGATGTTCAAGTGAGAAGAAGCTGGCCAAAGAAGTAGGGTCAGATAAAGGGAACAAGTGATTGAAATCTGCAACCTCCATCTTCTCACTCGACCTAGGGTTAGAAAGAGGAATTTCAGTTCTTCTTTTCTCCTCGACCCACTTCCTTAAGCCAACGACAGATCAGACTGCTCATTCACAACTCCAAATCAGCTCGTCCTTCTCGTCTTCTGCTCGGCGGCCTCCTATCTATCGCCATCCACCATCCGCCCACAACAGAGAGGCGAGAACTCCTAGTGCGAACAATTAATCAATCAATCCGCTCATTCATCTCATCATCTTCGTGCTTGTGTGGGGTTAGCGAGTCTTCACTTGAACAAATCTCAAGGAAAGAAAGACCCGACAGGTGAAACAGTAAAGAGAAGTGAAGCAATTCATCAGCTAGCTCTTCCTAGTCCCCTGTATTAAGGTAAAAGAGTGTGTAATGTCATCATGTCTCTTTCTACAGCTCCCATGTTTTCCGCTTCCTTGTTGTAGGTACTCTATTCCTTTTCCCTTGATGAATGTTTCTATTATAGGCAAGCATCAACAAGGTGGTTGTTATAGTATAATGATTAATTATGAAGATTGGATTAGTCTAATGGGTTGTGCCTGTGGTTCTGATCTAGGTGATAAACGATGGTGCTTGGAGACTAAACATATATGTACTCATATGGTCTTTTTTATTATATACATAGTACTCCCTCAAACTCCCTGCATTTCTTCAATTTACTGTCACCTTTGATCATCACCCACACGGCACACCCATGTATGATGAGAAATTAAATGGATTAGAAGGGCAGCAGGTTGGAAGTTAACTTGGCATGCTATGCCTAGAATGTTGTTGTGATTGGTGGTTGGGTAAAAATGGAAGTTAACTTGGCATCCTAACAACTCCATTTTTGTCACAACAAATTATGTTTTAAGAATTGGAGTCGGGTGGTTGTAGTGTTGTGTAATGCAGGTGAACATAAAGCCGTTTAGGATCTAATGAAACCTTCCCCTAATACCTTATTGATGTTTTATGGCTTATTTGTCATTTGGATTCATGTAATGTACTCGAGTTTATGCAAAGATTCATCCTTTAAAGTCAAAGGGTGATGGGGGAAAGTCTATGGATTGAATATGATGTGTTAATCTCCTCACGTGTGTTTGAGAAGGCAAGACAAGAAGTTCCAGTCTATTAATAGACAGTTCTGTGAGAAATCTATCCACCACCACAACCGATCACTCCCCTTAAATTAGTGTAATAACTCCCTAAAAAAAAATAGTGTAATAACTAATTATAAAAAAAACTCGATGGTGTGGACCGAACAACCCGCAACCCGACCTGTTGTAACCCGCAATCCGATCAACCCGAACCCGATTGATCTGCAACCCGATCAACCCGTAACCCGATTGATCCGCAACCCGATCAACCCTAACCCGATCAACCCGCAACCCGATCAACCCACAACCCAATCAACCCGCAACCCGATCAACCCGAACCCGCTTGACCCGCAACCCGTTTAACCCGCAACCCGATTAACTCGCGACCCGACTGAACCCGACCCGAACCCGCCCGAACCCGCCCGATTGACACCTATACGTACATCCAACATTATTATATCTAAAACTTACAAGAATTTTTTTAATTATAACTCTAAACGAATCTATTATATCATGAAGTCAACAAAACACGGTCATTTTCTTAATAAGGTTCAAAGTATATGATCCTAAAACATCCATTAATACATAATATAGAGTAGAGTATAATATTTTTCAAATTATTATCTTCTAACTCTAATACATCTACTAAGTAATAATTAACTAACATAATCTTGTTGACAAGGGGGAAAGTGAAAGAGTGAAAGGAGAATTGAGGGAAATAAATTAGATTTTGATTAAAGTGGTCACTCAATTGCATTTCTACTATTTATTTCCTCGAGTTATCCTCATCATCATTGATAGATTACAATTTAATCCACATATTTTTTTTATATGTGAAGAAATTCTCTTGATGTGACGGGTATGGGTATGGGTATGGGGCGGGGAAGACCAAAACCATACCCGCCCCATACCCATCAAACTTTTTGAGGGTTTTACCCATACCCGCCCCATACCCAGTCAAAGCAGGGATTTCCCACGTTGACTAGGTCGGGGGCGGTCGAGTACCCGCGGCCATGGGTTTGATTGTCATCCCTATATGTAACGGACTCTCGATGAAAAAACATTTTTTGTCACTAGGTGGACAACTATGTGAAAGCTACAAGGATCAAGAAGAAACGAAACTTATTCAGGTAGAGAGAAAAAGGAGAAAACTTTCGTACGGTTACCCCTGCCTAAGACCTAAGAGCAACAAATTATTGCATCTCAATGCTTAAGCAATAGAAAGAACACCAAATATGTTATAAGTTAACTAAAATTTAAAATAAATCATATATATTTACATATTTTGGGAACTTTATGACACTAATTTCATCATAGCGTATTGAAGGTGTGTCGATTACAATTATTGAAGGTGTGTTGGAAGTACTAAATTCCAAAAAATTATACCTACAAAACATGAGTCTCTCTTAAAATATTCGGGCGGATGACACACCTCCCTAATACATGGGCCCGCCCCTGCTCCAAATGAATAATATACGAACACCACGGGGAGCATTTCTACTATCTACTTATTGTTCGATCACATTTTTCTTTGTTGCCTGCGGCTATAGATAGTTTTGATTTTGAACTTTATTTTCTTTGTGTTTGTAAATAGTACTAGCTTTTTGCCTGGGTAATACAAGTTGTCTATTGATAAAAAGAAAATATTTGTATCTATTGGGGTCGAATTGAAAGCGAAAGAAAACTATTTTCAGCATTCAGTGTCATACAGGTCACTTTGGACGTGTTGACTAGCAATTGTTCAATCGCGTTTATATCAAACTTGAGCATAATTTTTAACATTTGACTTGCAAATCATATCCTCTTCTTCATCCCATCAAAATTAGGGTTTGCAATCGGCATTTCGTCCTACTGCGAACACCATCCCCACAACCTTCCGCCTCGTTTTCCTCCATTGATTGATCCGTCCGGGCGCCGATGGAGTCGCGGGAGCCTGCAACCATCGACAGGATCAGCTCCCTGCCGGACGAAATCATCTCCCACGTCCTCTCCTTCCTGCCAACCAAGTACGCCGTCGCCACCGCCGCCCTGAGCCGACGGTGGAAGGATCTCTCGACTAGTCTCCGCGATCTTGACTTCGACAACCGCCTGGTTCGCAGCAATCCTCTGGAAACCAGAGAGTTCAAGAGGAGAGACTTGGAATTCTCTCGATTCGTGGTCAGGGTTCTGAGGCAGCACAAGAATCTCAATTCCGTAAGGCGCTTCCGCTTCCAGTTTTCTGTAGATTATTATGACTGCGAGCTTAGCCGAGATGTCTGGTGTCCTTGGATGGAGTCGGCCTCCGACGAGTCTCAGCTCGAGGAAATTGATATCAGACTGAAGAGCGTATATGACGTTGGCCCCATCTGTGAGTTATGGTCTCCTCCAGTGAGCTTCTTCACATTGAAGAATCTAAAAGTTCTGAAGCTTACTGGAATCATAATAGGCGTCATGCCGGCTTCTATTTGTCTTTCCAGTCTGAAAATCTTACAGCTTTTGAAGGTAAGGACTAAGGATTTCGAGTTATTAACCAGACTCATTTCTGGTTGCCCTGTTCTAGAGACTCTTCATTTGGAGAATTGCTGTTTCAAGATCTGGAATTTCGATCAAGTACTCATTGCTTCCTTACCATCCTTGAAGAACTTGACGGTTATCAACAATGATGGATGGCTGCTTTGTTCCATTGAAATGGAAGCGCCAAATCTTGAGCATCTTTATCTTCTGAAATTTGGGGAGTTACAGTTTATGGGTAGTAGTAGTCCATTGTCATGCGTTCACTCTGTTTATGAGAAAACCCTGGTTGATGATGATGGAGTCGAGTATCGTCATCATGATGGCCCGCGCCGGATTGGGTTACTTACCCAAATCTCCAATGCAAAGGAAATGCTGTTATCTTGGCAGACTCTTGTAAGCAACTGTTTTCCCTTGTTCTCTCACTAAATCATTCACTCTTCCATTTTGTTCATTCCCATTGATTGATGAGAAGATGAGAGCTAATGATGTTTCCTGTGTTAAATCATTGTTTCAGAACTTTTTGACATTCGTGAATGATAATGTAGCTGTGCAACCACTACTGCCTGTGTTTCGTGATTTGACGCATTTCACAGTGAGACCTTCTGAAAACAGCTCGCGCTACTCAGACACCAAACTTGCTAGAAGCAGCTTCGTTCTTCACTCCTTGCTCAACTCAGCATCCAAATTACAACATCTAGTCATTGACATGGTGAGTTCCATTTTTATTTCAGCCAACTGGAAGCTTCCCCTTCCATATATCAATAACGAGTATGTCCATGGAGCAGGGCAATCGTAGGATACGTATGGAGTGGGAGGACGCGGAAGAACTTGCTTACATCCCCGAGTGTATGCTGTCGAGCCTCGAGGAAATTGAGATACAGAATCTCAAAGCAGATGAAGACGAGAGGAAAATGGTGGCGTATTTGCTCAAGGCTGGAGCTGTACTGAAGAAGGTGAACCTGCACCTGTTTGAAGATGTCGTTGATTATGATCTTGGCGACATGGAAGACCGCCTTGAACTTGCCTCGCTGCTAAAACTGCCAAGAAGGTCCAGCACTTGTGAAGCTCATCTTTTTCTTCCCAATGGCGATGAGATCCACATTGATAGCAACATGTAGATTAGATTAGATGGTTGCCTTTTTTGACGTATTTGAGCCTTGAGTTGACATACTTAGCCAATAATGGGTATCTGAATTGATCTGGGGAAAGATTTTATATTGATTGCAGGCAGGAGTGATATCCTACAGTGCTCTGTTTTTTTGCTTATTGCCTCTTTGGTTGTGTCGGTCAACTTCCTCCGTTTCTGCTCTCGCGTCATTTATGTTGAAAATTTCTTTCAATCAGACTATTAATTCTTAAACGTCACATCTTCCATTTCTACCAATTGAGACTTGGTGGGGAATTGAGGAACTTTGCGTTGGATTTTCAATGTATACAGCATGTTCTTATTTGTAAGTTTAATTTTTATGTAGAACCCATATAATTGCTAAAAATGTTATCTATCAAACCCAAATTATATGAATTTATGGTTGCTTTATATGTCATACTATTTATCATATTTTGATAATATTATGTTTTGCAGTGCTGCGCACGTGATCATTCGGATAATGAACATGAAGGATTATCGCATATGCCTTGGATGAGCTATACTTAAAGAAGGATGGATTTTATTTTCTCCTGTTGCAGCATGTTTTGTTCGATTTCGTGTCTTGCAGGTATATTAGGACAACTAACATCATGTAGGGATGACAACAAGTTCGGGTGGGGTTCATATATATCATCCGCCTTTCGAATCACGATTTTAAAACCGTAACTATCTCCGTAATCAAAACTGTGTTGGGATGTAATATAGCATACCAAACCCAACTAGTATGCGATGTGGGAGAAAACCCACCCGTAGCATCCCCAACAATCATGCGTAAGACTTTTTATATAATTTGCATGAAGTTTATTTGTCAAATTGTTTGTAAAATTAAGAGAAAATAAACAATATTTGATGTACAAAAAATAATTATATATTATAATATTTTAGTAATCTTCTATAACATAATTATAACACATATTTGAGCGTGTTCAATGCAAACAATTAAAATACCAAAAACGCACCGATATTATTATCTTCTGTGAGAAAACTCATCCAAAGGCCAAATTGATTGGATTTTTCCTGAAAAAATGGATTCGAATTGGGTTATTTTGCCATAGGGTCAATTCAAGCATTGTTATCGATTGAATCGACTACTGGTCATGCTACGAATGGTACAAGCTGATTATGGAGGAGGTTGAGGGAAAAGTTTTTGAAAAGTGGAGTGTGTTACTGTGGTTCTTCTGGAAAGAGCGAAATGCTCATTCGGATAGTAGCTCGCTCCCAAGCTTTTCTGGAGGAATACAAACAACACCAAGTACGTGAGCAGGTGGTTTCGGCTACTCCAGCAAAGCATTGGAAAAAACCGGTCATGGGGAAGGTGAAGATTAACACAGATGCAGGCTTACTTGAGACTGGAGGGATTGGCCTTGGAGTAGTAATCAGGGACGCTGAAGGGAATTTCATCCTTGCAGCTACGAAGAAAATCCCGGGACAATGGGACGTGGTCACTGCAGAGGCGATGGCGGCAGAGATGGGTGTGAGTCTAGCTCGACAGTTCTACGTCAGCAACCCGATTCTAGAGACTGACAGCCTTACTCTAATATCGAGACTCGCCGAGGCGAGTGGTATCCAGACGGAACTTGGCATTGTATGTAGAAGTATCACAAGTAAGTTGCACGAAATGGGAAGTGGGTCGTGGATGTTCACCCCGCGGGAAGGCAATATGGCTGCTCATATTATGGCACATTCGACTACGAGTTGGAATGATCAGATTGTTTGGTTAGATAATCCTCCTACGTTTCTAGTTGATCAGCTAGAGCTGGACAATGTAGTTCTGCTTAATAAAATTTGCAGATTTCGATTAAAAAAAAATCGACTACTGATCCACGAGCGTATCTTTCACCACTTGATTTTGTGATCTAGCTTCCAATTATTTGGCCAATTCCGGGATATCTATAGAAAGAAGAAAAGAAAATGATGTGAATACCGAAATTGAATTCCTCCAAAGCCTTGGTAGTTGGCAGTTGGCACAGAGAACCAATTCACTTCTCCCTTCCATCATAATTAGGGTTTCCAATCGGCAGTTTTCCCAATCTAGAACTCCATCCCCGACCTCCCGCCTCAGTTTCCTCCTCTCGCCCGTCGATGGAGACGACAAAGACTACGAAAACCGCTACTGCTGCTCAGTCGAAGTCCCTGGATCCGGCAACCGGCGACAGGCTCAGCTCCCTGCCGGACGAAATCCTCTCCCACATCCTCTCCTACCTGCCTACCAAGCACGCCGTCGGCACCGCCGTCCTCAGCCGACGGTGGAAGGATCCCTGGACTATGGTCTCCAATCTCGATTTCGACAACCGCCTGGTTCACAAATCCAGGCTCGCAGGGATCCACAGAAGAGACTCGGAGTTCTGCCGCTTCGTCGACAGGGTTCTCGCCCAGCACAAGAGCCTGAATTCCCTTCGGCGATTCCGCTTCCACCTCTCGGTGAGCTACTGCAACTTCGAGCCGAGTCGAGGTTTCTGGAGCACGATGGAACCGGAGTTCGGGTCCCAGCTCGAGGAAATCGATGTGAAGCTCGAGAGCGACGATCGATTTGGGGCCTTCCGGAAGCTATTGCCGCCTCCGGTGAGTCTCTACACTTTGGGGAGTCTCAGAGTTTTGAAGCTCGCCGGCGTTGCTATCATGATGAGTACTACCCACGACTCTGTTTTTCTCCCTAGTCTAGAAATCTTGCAGCTTTTGCTGGTGAGGACTATGGATTGTGAGTCATTGCACATGCTCATTTCTGGTTGCCCTGTTTTAGAGACTGTTCATATAGAGAATTGCTACTTCTTAGACGAAACCGAGAAAAAAACACTCATTGCTGTCTTACCATGCTTGAAGAACCTGAAGATTATCAACTACTATGAGAGTCATTGTAATCCGTTGTCTCCCATTGCGGTCGAAGCACCGAGTCTTGAGCATCTTCATCTTGAGAACTCTACAATGCTACCCTTTATGGGCGGTAGTCCGTTGTCATGCCTTCATTCAGGGTGGGTTGATATTGGTGATCGACAAAGCTTGCTTGATGATCATCGTAGCATGATTCGGTTGCTCCCTCAAATCTCCGATAATGCAAAGGAGATATACTTATCTAGGAAGACTATTGTAAGTATCACTCTTCTCTTTTCCCCCATGGATAATTATAAGAATTGGTTGATGAGAAAGAGCTGACATTGTCAAGAACCCTTTGTTTTTTCAGCATCTTATGTCATTTCTATATGATGCTCATCAGCTGCCTGTGACCTTCCCCAAGTTGACACATTTGACAGCCGGATCTGTCCATGATTTTCAGCAGCTGCCTTTCGTGTTTCCCCAGTTGACACATTTGACAGTCGAAACGAGAAGCGTATACGTTCTGCACAGCTGGCTCAACTCTGCATCCAGATTACAATCCCTTGTCGCTGTCGTAGATCAGGTATTTCACATGAATCAGGAGATTGAAATAAATGACGAGATTGATTTAGAAGCACTGGAATGCGGAGAGGCAGAATTTCCCGCTGGCACCCCTCCTGAGTGTTTGTTGTCGAGCCTCGAGGAAATTGAGATCCGTGGCTTTTCCGCAAATGAACAAGAGATGAATATCATAGCGTATCTGCTCAAGGCTGGAGCTATACTGAAGAAGATGAATGTGCACATGCATAATTGTGTCGAAATAGAAGGAGGATATGAAGATCTTGAGTCACTGCTGCTAGAACTGCCAAGGGCATCAAGCGCCTGTGAAGTTCGCCTTTTACATTCAGCTATCAGCGACAGCGACAGCTGGAGTTCTAACGTCGATAGCCACAACCAAGACAACTCAACGTTTACATTCTGGCAGCAGGGACAATGCAATTTCTGAAACTCTAGTGACGATCAAGATGACAGACGATGACATCCATGGAGGAGAGACAGGTTCCCGTGCTAAATCTACTTGCAATTTCTAGTTGATTTCCATTCAATTAGTCAGAGCCATCTTCTCTTACCAGACTTTGCCACATGCTTTCTATTTAACTATTCATCTAAGCTTGTCGATCATCTCGGCAGCACCTGTTGCATTAGGGTGATCTTGCTTTGTTTGCAAACACGAACAACGCAGCATCCATTTACTTACATCCTCCCAAAACTGATATCAATTGTTACATGGGGAATTATTTGAATGAAATGAACCTTGTGGCTCTTGTTCTTGCATCTCAGATCACATTACTGAAACCGTGATCAGTCGAGAAAGCGCTCAGAGTGCCTTGATTAACATCATGTTTTGTTAATCTCTATGAAAGGAATAAAATGCAACATGTGATTTACTGTGTTCATCTCTATTACGGGCAATTTGGTACTGCTTCGAGTTTCGACCGAGAGGATCAATCGTTTGTGAAGTTTGTCTTTTGAATTCTGAAGATCACGACTAATGGTTCCTTATAGCATTTCTAGCTATTTGGATTTCTTTATAGCATTTCTACATCAATTGTTGCTGGACAGGAATGCCCTCAACATTTTTAACAAACACCAAACTAACCACTTGAAACTTGAAAGAAAGAAGAGTCTCTCCTCTCTAGTCCACTCTCTAATCTGTCACTTGGCTGCTTCTCCGCCGTCGTCGGCCGCCTGATCTTCAGATTCGTCAATTCCTTTTTCCCATATGACCACCGCTCTGACTCCACTTAGTCGGCCGTCCATCAACCACCCTGCGCCGTCGCCACGTCCTCTCTTCTCTCCACCGACGCTATCCTCAGTCGCATTCTCTTACCGCGCGAACAGCTCGGCAGTCTCTCCACCCAGATTCGCTCGCGGTTACAGCAGTCGGTTCACTTCCCGGCGTTCTTCTCCGACGATGTCCTCCGCGAAATCCGTCGTCGAACTCAGCGACGAATCGGATTTCGGCAAAATCGCAACTCCTTCGGGCCTGATCTCCATCTGCGGCTTCGGCTCTCTCCTCTCCGGTGAGTAATTACTGACGTCGAATTTACCCCCTAATTCGGAAGCTATCGTCGTTAAAAACTGTATTTCTCTAATGGAGTTAGAGAGGAGCGCGAGGAGTACTTTCCCGAACTTGACGAACTTCCGAGTCGCGCGATTGAACGGTTTCCGCCGCGTCTTCGCCCATGTCGCGCCGATTTTCTTCGAGCGCGGCATCGCCAATTCACAGACAAAGGTCCGATCTCTCTCTTTTGCAATCCATTCCGAACTGATTAATGCTGGATCTTTTTTTTTTTTTTCAAGTTCAATAACTCTGTTTGAATTTGTGTGTTTTTGCAGGAGATCTCAAGCTTGAGCGCGGAGCCATGCGAGGGCGAGACCCTCATAGTTACCGTCTTCGAAATTGAAAACTCGGAGGTAAAGGTTAACGAAATCTGAATGCTAAAATCACTGAGATTGAACAATGGAACGAGGTGTTTGAAATAATCTATGGTGATTCAGATTCCTGCTTTCATGGAGAGGGAGCTTGAGTTCAGATTTCTAGCTGTGAGTATTCGGTTTGCCCTCTTCCCTTGTTCATGGCGTGATTTCCATTCTGTTTCCACTTTCATTTGCTTGCTCCTAATCTGCAATATTGTGGCAGGTTGCGCCCGAATCGCTCGATGGCAAGCCTTTCGACTCACCTGCGGTAATGTGATCGATGCCGTCACTGTCTTTGTTCGGCATTCAAAGGGTTCTGATTGGTAGTAGTAAATGCAGGTCCTCTGTGCTCGTTACAGTGATGAAGAGTTCTTCCGAATCAGATGCAAAGGTATATAGATTGATATACAAGTTTCTTCATCTGTGTTCAACTCGGGCTACTTAGTTCTCTCTCTTTTTTCTTTCTTTCAGGAAGCAAAGATATGTACTTTCAGCAGTATGGAAAGTACAACATTGACAAGATATGGAGAGACGACATCTTGCCTTGCAGAGTCTACTTGCGACATTGGTAAGTAAGCTCGAAACTCTCAGATTTGCTGACAAATACCCCCAGATGAGTTATCGTACAGTCTAGTTGGAACCTATGAATCTGGTTCTTCCCCGTAGATTGGAAGGTAATGAACTGAAAGTCTGAAACAGAAACTTTCCTGCCTCTATTCTTTGTAGTGTGTTGGCAGCAAAGAATCTTAGTGAGGAAGCTTACGACAACTTCTTGGACCATACGTTCTTGGGGGATCGTAAAACGACCATACGAGACTACCTGGCGACTACCGGTGCAGGGATCATGGAAGAGGAACCTCCATTGTCACTAAGATCACGATACGGTGGCTGAGAAGCTGCCTTGGAAAAAAGCTGTAAACCTACCTCCATAAGAATTTGTTTCTTCTGCCTGTTTGAGGAGGGGTTTGTATCATTACTGATTTCAGCCATGTTTAATCAATGAAAGCTCGGTTGACAGTATAGCTTCCATTAATGTCACGCTTTTTTTCATCAAACTTTGCTCCGAACCAGACTACCACATCGTAGAAATGTAATGCTCGACTGTCAATCGACCCAACATAAACCTACTTTCTCGGGAGGACCTTTAGAAATGGGCCCTGAATTCGATCCATTGGGCTTCATCTTCGACCAGGCCCGTTAAATCTACCGGTAAAACTCATTCCTCCCACATCGAGAGATCTCACAGCCAAGCTTTCTACACAGAGCATAAATGGCAACGACGAAGCAGAGCTGAAACTTAACCCGTCCTGTCAGGGGTGAAAGGCGACTTACCAATGATCGTCTAGAGACGGTGAGTCGCGCCAACACCTAAACACGACGAACACAAAACATTTCGCGGCGAGCGGTTTCCGCCCTACTTTCAGGCGGTCACCGCCCGTCAATTTTTGGAAGCCTCTCCCTCCGGGGAAGGGCTCATAATCTCAAGTCCAAACTGGGTTTCGTTCCGATCAACAGAGCAAAAAGGACAATTGTGCAGAACTTTTCATTGACAAATTTGTATAAACCACATTGTATAAACCCCTCTTTTCCTTCCTACTACAACAGCACCTGTTCTTCAACTATCATACACCCATCATCACTACTACAATCTTCTTCACCATCACCATGCTCTTCTAGTTTAGAGATCAACAGTTCCATCATCTTCTTGTACATTGGCATGTAATGATCGTTTATCATCGTTTTCGACAGCCGGATCTTACTGTACAGCTCCCTCGGAGTCTCGTATATCCCGACACGGCCTGCCAGGCTCTCTTCTTCTCCGCCGTCTTCTGCTGCTGCAGCAATGCAGACGATGTGCATGATCTTGCCGGGAGGGTAGAACTTTGGGTTCTCCGTGGCCTCCTCCGTTGATGTGTGATTCCCCGTGGGAGTTATCTCTGCGGATGCAGCTTCGACGAGGATCATCCTCTCCTCTTCCTGGATCTCTTTTGCAGCTGCGGCTTCTTCTGCAGCTTGGACGTGCAGATCGACCTCGTTGCTGTTGTCATCGTCGTGTCTTTGGAGTTCCTTTGCCAGCTCGTCCCACAGCTCGCCCTCGGTTGGCTCTGATGAAGAGAGGACTTGATGATGATCCCCAGGAAGAAGCGGCTCGTCTTCCTCTTCTTCTTCGCTGCTCGATCCTGTGCTGCTTGACGACCTATTGCTCTGTGATAAGTCTTCGGTGTGGATTTCGGTAGTCACGATGGTTTCCGAGCTTTCACAAATTATGGAGGTTTCGTCCAAATCCTCCTTTTTAGGGGATAATAATGCGGGTCCTACGGACCGACGGCGTGGGCCCATACATGACCATGATGTTATAGACGAACGCGTCCGCACGACAGCTTGGGCAACATTCTGAGCTCGTCTCATCACAACCTAGAACATGGAAATAACAAAACCAAAGATCCATAAACATTCTGAGCATCGAGAGAGTTATGTTGGGAAATGGGGGGCAGCGAGATTGGGTAACCTACCTGAGTGCTGCTGGAAACAGGGCGCAAGAGCGCCCCAGCACCAGCAACCCTAGCTTTTGCGCTGGCTATGGATGGCAGACGAGATCCAAGTGCTGAAGCTGAGCGATACACGACGTTTAGAACCCGTGTATGCTCCACCTGATCTCTCAAATCACTCAACCAAGATGAAGCTGTGACCTAGTTTGTCAAACAATGAGGCAAAATTCAAGGCTTCATGATTTTTGAAGGCGAAGTTATAAGCAATAACATGAAGTTAACCTAGAGCTTTCGTCACCTCAGAGCGAAGGTCGTCAATGGAAGTAGTTGAAAATGTAGGCACTAGATCAGACCCGTTGACAATTGTAGTGATGAAGCTCTTGCCTGATTCTGCTAAATCCCAAGTCATACAAGCAGCTGCAAGAGATACATTTATGTCAGGACATGGTTCAGGAATAGTTTTCGTACTAAGATTATCGATGAGTACATGCCTGGAGCAAAGGCTACACAGGTGCTCGACGAAAACATCTTCTGTTCTCTCAATATATAAGTTAACAATGCTGCAGTACCGCCGCCAAGAGAATGACCAACAACCTGGAAACCGACACAAATATGATTAGTGAGAAGGATACAGTTCTGAGATTCATGAAGCTAAAGGCAGAAGCCTTCTTTGCACTACTAATGAGAGCCTGATAGCCAAATGCAGTTATCCATTTATTCCATACAGCCTACATGATTCCAGTTAGCTTACCTTAACCCTATACTCAGGGTATTCATCAAGAGCCTTGAGCAAGCAAGGAGTGCTGAGTTTGGCGATCCACCGAGCTGCTGCAACCATTCCACAATGTGCATACCCTAAAACCAAGTTGCTGATCCCACCATCATCTAACACTGAATGGTGGAAAGGAACCACCGCGCCAGTCACTGCAGTCAATGTATCTTTGATGCTATGAGTTCCACGGATCAACAGAAGGAAATGCTTCGTATCGTCGTCTCGTATAATCGTAAAAGCGGGCATCAGGATCTGAATAAGCAACAGACAACTATTAAGAACTTGAACTCCCCTTGTTCTATGATCAGCAAAAGAAAGAACATTTTAAGTCATTACCCCAGCCTTAGGCTTCTGAAGAAGAACATGTTCTAGAGAGTAACCAGCAGACTCTAAGAAAACTGGGAATGGCTTCTTGGAGAAGAACATGCAATTCGTCAACAGTCTAAGCAAGTACTTGAGCTCGGTCACAATCTCAGGCCCTTTCAGCTGTACAGAAACATCACTACCTGCATATACACTAGCTACCTGCAAATTGCCCTGAAAATGAAAGACCAAACCAAAATTCTCAACACAAAATCGCCTCCGAGACACAGAGAATGAAATCCAGGAAAAGGAGAAGGGGGGTTTCCGAACCTGCCTACGCATGAGGTAATTGATCCCGAAGGCCAAATCAGCAATCGGCCATTTCCCGAGAGTCTCGGAGTAAGTGAACCGGAGGGTCTCGGTCAAGGTAGTAAGGGTTTCAAGCCAGGTCGCCGGAGCTTGAGCCGGCCGCCGAGAAATCCTCCGCCGCAAGGATCTCGATTTCGACAAATTCCCGTGATCGGAGTCCCCTTCGCCGTCTCCCCCATTAACGCCGACGCCATTGGCCGCCAGCCTCCGACTCAATAAGTAGTACAGCACCACCGCTGCTCCGGCGGCGGTCGCCATTGCCCCCGCCGCCATCTAAATATGGGAGAAAGCGAAACGGAACCCCCTTCCCCCCCAATTGTCGCTTTTAGGCAGTTGAGGTGATGATGATTAATCGACGAGAGAAACCCAGAAGGTGATTGATCTGCTTCCGGCTTCTCTCCTTGAGCCGGGAAGCTTCTGTCGGGAGAATTGAAGGAGTAAAGCTGTCAGGGTCAGGGATACGGAGGAAGGAGAGAAAGGAAGCCTTTTGGCCGCGGAAATGGCGAGAGGGAAGAGGAGGAAGAAGAGAAATTGTGGGCACAGAGAAATTGGGAGAAAAAAAGATTCTGATGAGATGTTAAATGTCGGAAAAGGGCTTGGACGGTGATGAGGAGATGTGGACGACAGCTGTTGGAAATACGCGGGAAAGGTGAAGGGTATTTATGAGAATTCAACGAGGTTAGTGGTGGTGTGTGGGGAAGCAAAAACAAAGGTGATTGGGAGAGTTTGGCTTTGCAATGAGGGAAAATATCAATTAATAGTGGTTTACCTTTATTTCCCCTTCATCATAATTCTTATTTAGTGTACAATAAATTATTTTACTAGTTTTCATTAAAAAAAAAATCTTAGCCTATTCATAATAAAAATATAATCGCTTTGGTCGAGCAATTAAGACATGGGTCTAGGATCTTCTCATGATTATCAATTTGTGTGAGTATGTCATATTTATAGTCACCAAAGAATTTTTCTCTGAATAACATGTCGTGGGAATTGAATTAAGAATCGTACTATAGCATTCCATATCTTACTATCTTTTATAATTATATAAACTTTCCTCATAATGTCATTATTTATTTATTTTTAGTTACCTTTACAAAGATAGGTAAACACTTTATTTCAAATTTTGTAAATGGCAATGAAGATTGGGTCGGAAAATTTATCACGACACAAAGACTTGTCACGAATCAGGATACCAATCCATTATATAAATGGTTTGCGAAATTGTGTTTTATCATTATCCGTTTTGCATGTGATCCTGAATAAGACCACCGTAAATTAAGTACGTAGGAATTGTATACTAAAGTTTTTTTAAGACAATGTTTCACTATGGATTAGATGATGTGGACACCAATGATGAGTGATTTTGAAGAAATTGAAGAGATTAGATCCACCTCCACTTCATATGATAAGGGAACAAAAAGTCGTATACTTTATGAGCAAGAAGAATGGTTATTGCTTTGATTGTCACGGGTGGATTTGAAAGGAGGGCCACATCTAACCCAAAAAAAAAAAAAAAAAGAGCGCCATGACGAATGAATATAAAATTACTAAATTAGGCTTGAAGAGAGTGGAAGTGTGGGCACGTTAGGATATGTTAGGATTAATTAATTCATGGGGGGATTAATTATTGAATGATTTATTTATTATTTATTCTTTTCATTAGTCAGGAAATAATCAGGATTCAGTTCAGATCTAGGCTTGGATAAAAACGGAAAAGACCAAACAGCTGCGTCGGATAAGCGCGTGACAGGCCGGAAAAAAACAAAGAAGAGAACAAGGAGCGTAACTTTGGGCCAACGATGTCACGGAGATACTAACTGGGCCTGGGCCGGACGCATGAGTAAATTGTTTCTGTTATTTTATGGGAGTCGCTGGCCCATTGACACTGCCCACTGGGCCCTTTGAGCGAAGGGAACAAACAAATTTCCTTGAGGGGTGGATGACAGTGACATGGTGATGGATTGTAGTCCAGATTCCAGTGAGCCAGCGGGGAGGTGTCGTTTCACCTCGGATATAGAATCCCCTTTGCTTGTGATTGTTTGATTATTGGAAATAAGATTGTTAGAATGATTGTACTGTTTATGATTAGGAATATATTGATACTCGTATTCATTTCGTGATAAGTTGAGTTCGAGTTGGATAATTTTATTATGGGGTGTGGGTCGGACAAGTAGATCAAGATTCAAGATGCGTATGTGATTTAAAGGAAAACATTAGAAATATTCATTCTTTTCATAAAAAAGTTCAGAAACAAACTATTGCATGATAAATGTAGTTAACTAATTCGATAGATTGAGACTTTCGCCTATCTACAACTTCAATATAGCTAAAATATGAGGTAACAAAAATAAAATTCTATATAATTTCTAAACAACGACAAATTCACAAAATACATCGATTTAACAATCCGACACCACCATCTGTAATGTATTGTGGTCGAGAGTTGTTGCAGAAGATGTTTGTAGCTTACTAGCTATGGTGGCCCAGCCGCCCAGGCGGCCTCAGTTTGTTTGCCAATCAATCGAGAGAGAGTGAGGGACGTCGCAATCTTGGAAAAGTCTAAGGAGACATGGCCGGCGGCGATAATCCAACGACCACAGATAAGGAAGGAACAACAGGGTCCAAATCCATCCAATGAGTTACCACGATTCCATTCCATCATTCTTACCATCAATCATCAACTCTTTATCTTCCATTCCCAAATTCCAATGGAGAAATCGAACTCCAATGGCGGCGCCCTTTGCCATCATCTCCTCATCATCTTCCTCCTCTGCTTCAACCCATCCTCCTCCTCGGCTGCTGAGACTCAATTCTTCGTCAACTGTGGGTCAACGACCGCGGTCAATGCCGATGACGGCAGAGTCTTCGCCGCCGACCAACCTCCCGAAAATTTCAAGCTCGACGGCGGCAGCCAAATACTATCAGATCCAGCAAATGCTACGGCTTCTTCCCTGTACAAAACAGCGAGAGAATTCACGAGGCGGAGCGGGTACGATTTCCCCGTCCCTGAAAACACCTCCTACCTCCTCCTCCGGCTCCATTTCGCCGCCTTCAACCCCCGCCTCTCCGCCGCCCGATTCGACGTCCACGCTTCCAATTTCATCCTCCTCGGCAACTTCACCGCTGAAAACTCCACCGCCGGTGCCCCGCTCATCTCCGAGTTCTACCTCCCCGCTGCTTCCCGCAATCGACTCAGAATCCGATTCATCCCCTCCTCCGATTCGTTGGCCTTCGTCAGCGCCATCGAACTCCTTCCCCTCACATCCAGCTTCTTCGTCGACAATCGGAGCGCGGCGGTCCCTCCCGGCGGCGGCAGCCGCCCTGCTGCTGGGTTCTTCGGGTTCCAATCCAGCGCTCTCCGCACCGTTCACAGGGTCGACATCGGAGGAGGAAGTCGCGGTGGAGAAATCCCCCCCGACTCGCTATTCCGGCCATGGCGGCCGGACAACGAATTCTACGCGACTGCTTCCCTCGGCAACGAGAGCGACACCGCCATCATTCCTTCCGGCGCCGCCGACAGGATTCGAGATCTCGCCGCCTCGGAACCCGCGCTGGGGAGTTGCAGGTACGAGAGGGTCACCAACGGCGGGGAGAGGCCGGCGAACCTAACCTGGAGATTCCAAGTGAAGCAGAACACCAGACAATTTCTCCGCCTCTACTTCCTAAACTGCGTCAACGACGCCGCCATCAGAGATTTCAATCTCTACATCAACACCAATTTCCCAGCCACGGTCGATCCCTTTCTCTATTTAAGAGAATTCGTGGCGGATTCCGATGGTTCTGGGTTCTTCGAAATCAGCATCAGCCCTTCCCCTGCCGTCGAGAATGGAGTCGCCACAGCAGCGTACCTCAACGCTCTGGAAATCTTGGAGTTTCTCCCCAAAACACCAGCCAACGAAACGGACGACGGAGGAAACCACTCTAATCATCACCGAAGGAATCTCGCCATCTGGCTATCCGCCGCCGCCGCCGCCGCTGCGGTGGTGGTTCTGATTTCGTTAATCGCGTTCCTATTGAAGAGGAAGAAGAAGAAAAACAACAACAAGGGTTCCAATTCCGTGAAGAACTCGGCCACCGGGGAGAAGAAATCTCACAGCTGGATTACCGTCCACACGGATAACACCACCACCCAGGGCTCCCCTCTACCGGAGCTGAATCTCAAGCTCAAGATGCCACTGTCGGAAATCCTCGCCGTGACTGACAATTTCAACCCGAAGCTTCTAATCGGATCCGGCGGGTTCGGGAAAGTATACGAAGGCAAGCTCGCAAACGGAGTGACAGTCGCGGTGAAGAGAAGCGAATCGGGTCACGGGCAAGGCCGACCCGAATTTCAAACAGAGGTTTTAGTCCTCTCCAAGATCCGCCACCGCCACCTCGTCTCCTTAATCGGGTACTGCGACGACGGCGCCGAGATGATCCTCGTCTACGAGTTCATGAAAAACGGAACCCTCAGAGACCATCTCTACAGATCCGACGATGATTCCAGTTCTACTTCTCCTCCCTCCTCCATGGCTTCCACCACGACGATGCTGAATTGGAAGCAGAGGCTCGAGATCTGCATCGGGTCGGCCAAAGGCCTGCACTACCTTCACACCGGATCCGACGGGGGGATCATTCACAGGGACGTCAAGTCGACGAACATCCTGCTCGACGAGAATTACGTCGCGAAGGTCGCCGACTTCGGGCTCTCTCAGGCGGGTCTGCCCGACCCGGACCACCACAGTATGGCGCTGAAAGGGAGCTTCGGGTACCTCGACCCGGAATTCTTCCGGACGTTTCAGCTCACCGATAAATCGGACGTTTACTCTTTTGGGGTTGTGTTGCTCGAGGTGGTCTGCGCGAGGCCGGCGATTGTGAACTCGACGGCGGCGAGGAGGGAGGAAATCAATTTGGCGGAGTGGGGGATGGCGTGGCAGAAGAAGGGCGAGATTGAGAAGATCGTGGACCCTTCGATTTTGGGGGAAATGAACCCGAGCTCGCTGCGGAAGTTCGCTGAAGTCGCCGAGAAATGTTTGAGGCCCGACGGGGTCGATCGGCCGACGATGCTGGATGTCTGCTGGGATCTGGAGTATGCGCTGCAGTTGCAGCAGGGTACTCCGGCGCGTAGAGAGCCGTCGGAGGATAGTATGATGGATGATGCTTCGTCGAACATTTTGAGGCCGATTGTTAGTGGTTTCCGGGATACTAGCTTCATCGTCGGTGAGGAAGATGACGACGACGATGATGATGATGATGATGATGAGATGTCGGCTGGAGATGATTCTGCCGGCGATGTGGATGCGACGGCGACGGATAGTGGTAGCGTGTTTTCGCAACATAGGGTTGATGGTGCTAGGTGAGCTGGCGGTGGGTTGGGCCTAAATAATTACGGGAGTTTTTGCTGGGCCTGGATCCAACATAAGAATGGATTATTTCTTTTTCTTGGAGTGGTTGGCCCAATAATGGTAGGCTCAGTAAGCCCCTTGCGCCATCTTGCCAAAAAATAGAGTAAGTTCATTTTGTATGTAGTTGTGGATGGAACTTAAGATTACCTATTAGACCAACTCATCATCCTCATTTTTTCTTCTTTTGCTCCAATACTACATCCTCTATATTTGGAGATCTCCATTTTTTAAGTTTTCCATTTACTTAAAAATATACTTATCGAAGCCTTAATATAATTTGTTCATGTTAATTTTTGTATAGTTCGTCATCATTTATAAATACAAATTTTCCGGTAGAATTTTTTTTAATTTTGAGACCAAATTTTTGTTGACAAAAAATGATTGACCTAACTTACACACAACACTTGAAAATTATTGATCTAATTAAACCCCTAACTAATCCCCTAATTAAACCCCAATTAACCCTTAAAATCTTAAAAAGAAAAAGAAACGCCACGTGGCGGGCTTTGGGGAGTCTCTATATTTGAGGGAACCCCCATTTCCACCCCCAAATTTGGGGATCCTTTTGGAGATCTCCCCCAAATATAGAGACTCCTCCATTTATAGAGGCTCTATTGGAACCAACTTTCCCCCAAATATAAAGGCTCCCCATTTATAGAGGCTCCATTGGAGTTAGCCGTGTCAACATCTTTACAAAAATGCCATATTTCGTGACATCTATCTAATTTAGTAATTTTTAATCAATATATTATGTAATTGAGTTTATGGAAATGAAAACTCAAAACTTGAACAATGTAAAGAAACACTTCAAATCATATGAGTGATGAAATCGTGAATGATTATTCAGTGAGGTACTTTAAGAATGAATCTCTCACGATTCTCATGATGAATGTATTTTGGAAACCTTTCTAAATAAAAAAAGCACATCATGAAACTTAATTTATGTTTTTACACACACATTGGATCTACCTTAGATGAATTTCCGACTATACCACTTGTAAAATTATCGGACTTTTGAGACTTGAATGGTTAAAAACAAGGGTTGGTGCTTTGGTTTGTATTTCTCCTGAAACAAAAAAAAGAACTAAAGGAGTTAGTAAGGCCTGTTATCAAGCTATAGTCTCTTAAGTAATAAGGGTGAGTATGATTTTGTTCGAATTAGGACCACTTCAAAATTGTACATAAATTTGAACTAAACGTTAAAAAAACTGTATGAGTTAGAATTCGATGAAAGACACCATACTATATGGATAGCTACTTTGAATTTTGATGAATAATAGTTTATTATTCTATTTAAGTAGGAATTTCAGTGAAAGCAAATGAAATAAAATAACTATTATAAAAACTCATCAAAACATTGATCAACATGTTCTGCTTCGTTCTAGTTACTAGTACAACACGACTCCATCTAATGTAGAAACTGTCTACCAGACGAAATTCTCACAGCATTTTCAACAACAAATCTTGTTGAGTACAAGTTTAAACCCTCCCTTTTCTAGCCTATCCTGAAATTCTTTCAAGTAAGAAACTAAAGCACTCGAAGGAAGAAAAAGGGTAATTAGAGTAGAGTGTGGATTAGGCAACAGCTAAAGTCTTGGATTAGCATCAAGCTAGTGTTGTAGCCTTATAGGGAGCCACTGGCTCTTTCCCATGGGCAGCTATATGTTTAAGCTTATTGGTCAAATTTTGTAGTTACCAAGACATAGTATAACCAAATGGTTGAAATTTTTCCCACAAGTGGCTACCATTTATGTAAGAACTATGTGCATCTAGTCTTTGGCTTTCTGCCATTCTATTTGTTTGTTTATGATAATTTTCATGATTTCTTCTCTTGATTGTTTCAATCATTGGAAAAGCAAATGTTGTCTGTAAGTGCAGAACCCTAACAAAGGTCAACACCACAGGACTCCCTCCCAATTTCTCCTTCAAAGACAACAAGCTTAGCAATCCAATGTTGCATTGTGGAAGGAGGTAACATGTCTTTTATTAAGCGCATAGGATGACATTGTTGATATATTGACCTATTTCGAAAAGAGCTGATATGCACTTGCTCGTAAAAGTTTTACGCGTATAATATGACTACTGATAACCATCATCTTTGCTCTAACATGACATCGTTGAACCACAACCGGTCTAACGAGAATAGAACCTCAAATTCGTGATCGGCATTCGCCATTTTGTGTTGACCTCTTGATTCGATTTCGACAATCATTGGCAATCATATTGCAAGATTAGCATGATGGTGAAATGATGGCCCATTGGGTTTGGGAGTTTTTGCATCACTAGGGAAAGAAAGTAGGAAGCAAAAACAAGGTAGAAAGGAGAGGATGATGATGATGATTTGCAATCTCTATTCTTTTCACCTACTCCTCGCAACTTCACATTCAAGCAAAGGGACCTTTCCCTTTTCTCAATTCTTCACGTGGAATTCCTCATGCGATTCAATACACCAAAATGGTATTGCACAATGTACTCGACGTGGATCTGCTGGTAACTAACTCTCGGTCCATACTCAGATTTCGAATGCGCAATGTACACTGTGAAAAAAAAAAATCATGTAACAGATTGTTGGCGACGATCCTAATATACATGCTAAAATTTCATAATGTAAATAATATGAAGACTGAACTCTGCCCTTTTTGTATAGTCCCTAAAACAAAATCCCAAAAATGAGGACAGAACGTTGTATAATAATTAGGCTAAACATTGAGAAGTTAGGCTACCCAAATGTTGAAAAATGAAAATAGGATTTCGTAAAGTCCAAACTTTTTGTATTTCTCTCTTAGTGCATTTTTCTCTCCTACTTTTGCTGCTGTTCAGATGGCATTAGGCTAAACATTAACCAATACTATATGTGGTTGCATTGAATTGATACCTAAAAAACATGCATGAGTCAATAGAGTTCTCTAAGATATCCCAATTTCAAGGTACAAGTTGTAGGCAGCCTCAACCATAAAATCATGGCTAGCAATTAGAGTGGGCTAACGATTTCGTTTGATACGAATTCGATAGAAATGAGCTGAATTACACTCGATCCAGACACAATAAGAACCAATCATTCGTTTTCGTTATGATCTTATATTTTGATTTTGAACTCACTTACGATTGCCCTAATAAACATATAAGCCTCCGCAGAGTTAATACTCTCACTAATAAAATGAAATTTGTACCGACCTTTTGTACCCGATAAACAATTAAACATTATATTAATACACAAACTATTTTTGAACTAGTGATCCAAAGGGTAGTAATACTTAATCACCGATCCCACTTTCAAAAAATCCCTCCTCCCGCAAACTCTGCTATTTTTTCTTAACCGCTCCACCATTTCATCTCTCCCTGCTCCCAACCTTTCCCTTGCCCTCAAATCAAATCCCACAAAGCCGTATCTCTTCTTCTCCCTCTCTCTGTCTCTCCGATCTTTCTCTCTCAGAAGACAGAATGAGAGAAGCAGCATCATCAGTTGCCAAATCCAGATTGGTATCTGAGATTTGCTCTCTATCAACTCTCACCATTACCTGCATCCACAGAGAATTTCCCCGTCTGTCTTCCCCTGCCTCGTATTTCATCGACTGGTATCGCCTTCTCGGCGTATGATCCTCAATCCTTTCTCCCCCACCCAAAAGATCTCGCCTTTCTATCTTCTGTCATCAACCCTTTTTTGTTTGATCACTTGTTTTCCCACACAGGTTGAAGAAAATGCAGATTCCGACGACATCAGAAGGCGGTACCATCGCCTCGGTACAGTTTTCCTCTGTTTTATTTGGCTTGCAATAGTCTCTGTTTCAGTCTGGTGTATATGTGATTCTGGTTTGATTGGGTCCTTTTTCACTGTTTGAAATTGCAGCTCTACAGCTTCATCCTGACAAGAACAATCACCCGAAAGCCGAGATCGCATTCAAGCTCATCCTCCAGGTTTAACTCCTTCGTCTCTTCTTGGTGCTGCATTTCAAATTTGGCGAAACAGCAAGCTTCATGTGAGTAAGCATTAATTGCAGGGGTACTCTGTTCTGTCAGACGATGTGAAGAGGAGACAGTTCGATTGTGAGAGGAAGAAATGCTTCTGCATTGAATGCAACAGAATCCCTTATTCATCACCAAAGGTGAAGGAATCCATCAAAGAGAGTCGTTCGAGGGATTACCGAATTCGGCAGGCTTTGAAGGACATAAGGGAGAGGTTCAAGGAAGAAGCTAGAGTGATGGAGAATTGTCTCAAGGTCAATGCTTCTTCATCCTCCAGAAGGGACGAAGCCCCGGTTTTCGTACCATCTTCTTCGTCGAACCAGTCGTTGTTGTTCCGATGCAGATCGAGGAGAGAATCCCCCGTCTTCGACCCGTGTAACTATGGAGCTGAAGGGTATCCTCATTTTAGGGAGAGGAGCTTTAGCAAGAAGCCTGAGAGTTTCTGGAACATGCAGAGGAGACAGAGTTTTAGTAATAATGGACAGGGGTCAAGAACTTCTGAAGTTCCTGTGTTTGAGAACAGGCTAGATAGAGGGATATTGAAAAGCAAACCTGCTTGCGTCCATTCATAAGCATTCTTCTCCATAATGCGGGAAATTCAGCATTCTTTTTTAACATTAGGGATTGTTCCTGTGTTGCTGTCTGCTAATTGGTGCTGCTGCTGAAAAACGACTCAATACAAGTGCTGACAAGAGAGCATTACACTTATAGGGGCTGCCATCAATTTCTGATAAGCATAACACAACACAATGCGGCTGCGAGTGCAATGAAGAGAGCATTAACATAAACACTGTTTAACAGCAAGCATTCAATTCCATAGCGTTAGTTTTCATAATACATTACGACCGTACACTTTACAAAATATGGTTGTCTTCGGTTAGCAAAGACTGTCATTGGGTGTGCTTCACAATGGCAGATGGACAAAAAAAGAGAAACATCTCTTTGCAAACTAGACAACAGCGTAATTCTAATCATACTAAGCTACATTACTGGAGTTCACTTCTCGAGCACATCAAGCACAAGGATGAGTCTGTCCTCATCATCCTCCATATCATAGAAACACCTCAAGTCTCTCGGATTCTCGCAAAGCCTCTCGCATGCAAGAACCCTTTGTGCCGTTGTTAAACCCTCCAACTTCTTCAAATTATTCATCAAATTGGCCCTCATAGTGGTATACAGCTCACTCTCCCCCATAGCTCTAGCAATTGTATCAACGGATTCCTTTATGAGCCGCCTCATCTCTCTCAATTCGGTTGAAAAATCGCCTCTGCGCTCATCGGAATGCCTTTTCTTCCTCTTTTGAGCTGGACCTCCTACAGAATCAGCTGCAACTGTGGTTGCTTGCTTCCTTTTTGCACGTGATGTTGCTTCCACGCCTTCATCGGTTATCTCGGACATCTCCTCCTCCACCATGGCGGTATTCATTTGGTTCAAAGGGATGGTGGGTTCACCTTCATCTTCAGAACTGCTGGTTGAGTTGCTATCCGTCGGTTCCCTAGTACGCCTACGATTTGAGTGTGCTTCTTCAATAAGCTGAGCTAGTTCCAATCCTAGACTGACATAAATCATCAGCAGGTTCATGAACGAGCCAATTGCTGCAACCACATGGCGCCTACGCGTAGGATTCAATGTCCACAGTCGTGACATCCTTATCGAACAAAGACAGCAGTGATTATTGTGTTTGTTTAAGGCTGGAAATTGTATCAAAGGCTAAAACACGATAAAAACATGCCCTTAATACAAGTCAACAACAATTCAATCAAAGTTAACAAACTTCATCAAGCAGTTGCAGGACCTCACCCAATGGACAGGAAACACCAACTTGTCCACCTTCCACAAACAAAGATGAAGAATAATACGAATGAGCAGAAGAAGAAAAAAGAAAGGCAGTATATCAAAGCCCATTACACATTTACACTTGCAAGCAAGACCTCGGCGCAAGCACTACACAAAAGCTCAATGGAAATGGCCTCTGTATATAACAAAACAAAACAAACCCAATCCAATCCAACCACAGAACTCCAAGCGAAGTATGAATGACACAAGATAATGAAAGCTGAAAACCCTACTTTTCCCCCTAACAAATCGAAGAATCTCCTTCATACAAAAGTAAAGAGAAATTACCTGGCTGAACCACGATGGTTTTTCGTCTTCTTCTGTTGCTGGCGCTGTAGGGATTCTTCGCCGGTCACCGGCCTTCTTATCGGACTTCCTTTCGTCTGGCTGCTGCTTCGTCTTCTGTGAACTTCCGCTACGCTAACACGGGAAAAGAAATGAACCAAAGTAGGAAAGAGGAAGAAGGATAACAACTAGCACGCACGAGGCATAAACAAAGCGGGACAACTTTGGATTTGCAATAAAATAACAGGGATACAAATGGAAAATTAATTAAACGCGGGAAAATGAAATGCAGGGGGGCCGGTTTTTCAATTTCCACATCTGTGGAAAGGTGATAACTTTTCGTTTAACAATTAAAGCTTAGTAACCCAGAGACCATAATCTAACAAATGAATGCTTTTACGTGAAGCTGAGAGCAAAGTTTTGAACTTTATAAAGAAGGAAGAAGCTTGTAGCTGGTAAGAAGCAAAAGAACAGAGAAATCAATAGCTGGAACAGGCAAAAGAGAGACAAGCTTCAGTACTGTGATATACTGCTATTACAAGTCTGTTGTTACAAAATTGGTACATAAGCATTATGAGCCCCCAGTATAGCCTTTTGCTTTGAGCCCTTCTTCTGTTAGGATATTCTTCTGCAGTGGATTTCGAAATCTGATGATAATTTAAGCCTTCTTAGTTGCCTCCTTGTGTTCCGATACTTTAAGAACGCCGTCCTTGAGTAATGGCTGCAGCTCTTTCTTGGCGAGATTGCGTACTTTATCATCAGTGGAGTCCAAGAACGCGTGTATTACCTTAGAGCTGCAGAATGGACAAGGAGTTAAGACAATGCTGCCGTTTTTTGCATTTTAACTTCATAAATAATGGGAGTGGCAATTGCTTTTTTCCCAAACTGACCTGTGACCTTGAGCCCACAAGCTACACTTCCCTTTCAAAGCATTCTTCCACAGAATGGCTGCGAAACCTGGGGAGTCCAAGACCAGCTTTCTGATTGTTCGGCTGGAGTGGAAGTTCTCAAAGACGTGTTCTTTTCCTGGCTCTTCAGATTTTGACTCTGCTGCAACAGCTGCTATGGTCTCATGCAAGGTGTTCAATTTCTCACCAAGTGAAGGGAAAAGAATTCCTCCAGAACCACCAGTTGCAACCTACAAATAGAAGCACGATTATTCAAGAAGAACGCTCTAATAACCAACTTCTCTATCAAATTCACTTTCCCAAATTCCAACAATCATTGACTTATTCTCATTACTTTTTCATGCTTCCATTTTATCCTATTTGCTAGCAAACCGAAGAATAGCATAATGTCAATGCAGAGCTCATTGACATACCTCATACAAGACTTCCTTGCCAAAATTAGATCTAAGCATCTCTTCCACATTTTCAGTGCATACATCGACGAGGCTCTGCAAATGAAATCGGCATTTAATTAGACAATCCCACCACACCATTAGTTTAGCAGGTGCTCAAACAACAAGAAACACTTTGTAGTTTGCATAGCAAAATAGCTAACCTCAGCAAGGCCACTTTCAAGCAATAATTCCTGTCTTCTTGTCAAAGGGTCTTTCTTTCCACCCTCCACGGGATCTTCAGTTTCATCTCCCTCGGCCATTGTGTCTTCTTTGACATCATTTTCCTCATCACCGGATATTTCGTTTGTTTCTGTTTTTTCTTCTCCTATAGATTTGGATTCAGATCCAACCTGGCGACAAAACAACTCAAGTGAATTTAGAGATAAAGAGAACAGCAATAGAGAAGATAAAGAGTTATGCAGCACCTTTGCACTGAGAGAGGAAATGGATGAATTTAGAGAAGCCATTTCATCAGGACTGAAATAGCGTGAACAATCTGGGTGAAGTAGCTGCAATATAGGACGCCTTCCATTCTGTCATTTCAAATTCACAAGGGAGAAGAAATAGTTGATTAATTGCAAAAACAGCTTATAGCAGGGGGAAAAGCAGAGCAACAACACACAGTAAGAATTGTCTCACGAATTACAATATCATCTCTAGTTTTCTTACGCTTCCAGAAGGCACAGCAGAAAACAATATTGAGTGGCTTTGATAAGCAACTTAGGTTAAGTGCTCATCAAACGGATTACAATTTTTACTTGCTCAGTTTTAATGACAAAGTATGTTCCAAGTGTGACTTATAGTTTGCAGTAGAGTACTGACCTTATCAAGGACAAGCTCCTTCAAACTAGTTTGAAGCTCACGAATCACAATCTGAAACCAAGAAACATTCATAAAACATCCACCAAACGTAACATTCAAATAAAATGAGCAGAAGCCATTGCAACAAATGTACCTTTGTCAGGAGTTTTGTGTCATCCACAGTGGAACAAATGCATGCAAGCACCTGAAAAAATGAGAAAGAACGCGTAGCACCTTAGAAAGTTTACTCTATCAAAGGGGGAAAAAAGAAAAAGGATATAACCCAAGGAATTGTTGGAAGAAAAGGGAATAACTAAATTAAGCTATCTTACCAGGCTCCCATATTGGTCATAAGCAATTTTTAATATATGGCTTTTCATTCCTTTGACAATCTTCTTTCTTTCCTGATCATGATAACGAATGACAAAAGCAAATTCCAGTGTAGGAGTAAGAATGTTTCTACAGCTAACCAAATGCACAGGAAGCTTGAACGTTGTTCTAAGTAAGTTTCACGATTAGGACAAGCACCAACCTTTGCACTCCCATGTTTGACACAAAGCATGCCAATACGAGACCCATCCTTGGTATGGATCATTCGAACAAGAAGTGGACCCGACAATTGCTCGAGTACATCAGCTGCAGAGAACTATATACAAACTCACTGAGGAAAAATGCGAAAAAGTTTCTCCAAAAAGAAGTGCCAATACTGTAACTTTTCAACACACCTTATCAGCAATACTTAAGTACTCAATAAGCACCCGATGTAAGATAGAGTGGTCAACAATTCCCTTCTCCAGAATCGGTTGAATTACAGAAGTCATATGTCGTAAAACTGAACTTTTCTGAAGGTTCAATTTAGCGATCACATCCACCAACCTGAAACATGATTTGGCGTAAGAGATTGCACTCTAATAAAAGAGCCCAAACTATTATCACCACAAATAAAATAAATACATATTAAGTTGATGTTACCTGCTCTCTTTGATTAAGGAAAGATCCTTAAACAACTGGAGTTCGGTGGAATACAACTCCAGCAAAAGCTCCTGTCTTTGAGTTCCATTACCAGCTTGGTATGCATGCTCAACAACTGAAGAGAAGATGGAAGATGTTTCTTAAAACGAGAAGTATTCACCCTCGTTTGAAGGTAAATGAATGAATAGAAGAAATTGTTTCAGGAGCACCATACCGACTGATCCAACCATGTGGCGAAGAAGAGAGGCAACTTGCCCACGGAGGGATGAGATGAAATCTCCCAGCTGCTTCTTAGAAGCTGCATATATACCACAGGCAAACAGATGTCAACGGGGATGAAAAGGCTTATAAAAGATTAAGAAAGTTGATGATCATTACTGAGCTTAAAGCAAATCTTATTCAAACATACCACTGTCTAACATTTTCTTCACTAGATGAACTGCATATGGGTTGCAAGCAAAGTTCAGGAAATGCGGCCTCAGCTCACCAAACACAACATCCCTCTCAGTCTGAGAACAATACTTAACGCAAGTCTAATGCGAAAAGCAAACAAAATGAAACAATCAAATTCTGTTGCCACAGCATGATTTGGTAGTAGCAAGTAACTGAAAGAGTAGATAGTTAGTGAACCACCTGAAGAACACGTGAAGAAACATGAGAAGTAGCGATTTCGGGTATCTTCCCTTTCATCTTCTGTATTGCTTCGCTAATCAACCTAAGGAACAATTCACAGTAAGCAAAGGAAAACTTCGCAAAAGTTAATGAGATAGAATCGGTAAAAGAGTGTTGTTTAGTCTAACTTGGATCTATCTTCCTTGGCTATGTTACGCTGTCTCATTTTCTCCCATAGCTTTGCGAGCTCCTATGCAAATGAAATGTACCCAAATCAATAAAAACCCAAAGAAAGGAGAGAAATCACATAGCTAAAAGAAAAACCACACGGCTTACTTGCTCCAAAGTGTAGTGTCTTTTCCTCCTTTTCTTCCTTGCCTCGGCCAACTCCTGCAAAAAAAACCCAAATAGATCCCCAAAACCAGAAACCAATTCCCCCAAATTCGCCATTAACACTACAACATCGAGTTTAAAAGAAAACCCAGTTCCTCACACCTTAGCCTCGATTCGGAGTTCTCGCTTGGATAGCGGCTCCTTAGTCTGTTTACTATCTTCACCATGACTGGACTTCGCATGCTTCTTCACTGGCTTAAAGGGCTTCTTCCCCTTCTTATCGTCAACCTTCGAGCTGCCAAACTTCGGCTTTTTGGTAGCGGTACCATCCCGTCCGGGTTTGGATGCCGGAGATTGCTTTCTCTTGTTCAATTTTTTGCCGTCTTCCTTGTGAGCCGCCATCGTTGTGCAAAGCTCGAGTTCGGTCTCCTCTCTTTCCCCCTTTTTTCCCTCCCGTTTATTCGTTTCGCAGGGTTTTGCCAGGGTTTTTTTCTCTTGGTTAGGATGCGGGTCGGATTACTAGAGCGAGTAGTGTTGGGTAGCCTGTTTTGGGCCAATCTGTGTACATTTTTGGGCCCGTTTTTCTTCGGGCTATGGAGGTTGAGGTCAGGTGGACCTTGTCCGTCAATCGGTTGGGCCCAAATCCACAAACTATATAAAGTGGTAATGACTAATGACTAATTAGGATCCATACTCTAATTAATCAACCTTCATGTCCATTGAAATAACAGCCAACCCATAATTATTGGGACTCACGACTTCATCCTGAGTATATTTTAATTTTAAAGTTCTAACAGTAATTCGTTCATTTTCCTCTAAAATTTATATTGTGATTTGTGAATTAAACTTAAATTATTTTTTATGGACCATGAATCACTCACATAATTTGTCGACTTGAAATTTATCTAAAGTGTTAGGTGAAATGCAGAAAAAAAAAACAATAGGTTTTCTCAATGTTGTGGGGAGCAAATGTTTTAATGCTACAAAAAGGATGTCTGTCATAAACTCATAATTAACCAACAACCTGCAGCAAAAAAAAAAATATCATGAGGACAAAAAAAGAACATCAGATATGTTGTCGAGTTACGGATGGATAATGATGTTGGGAAGCTTCATCATGGTTAACGGCAGCCAAAACAGTAATTTTTGGTGAATTAATTTTTGTATTAAGATTAGGGAAGATTTGTGATTATGGGGTGTTTATCATGTTAATCACTTCCACGCTGGACAGTCGATCCCCACAAAACAACATCATGGTTAAGGGGTTCTTAGTTTTTACCCCTTTTTTCTTTGCTTTCTTATGCTCCAAAACTATGGTCCGGTACTCTTCTTAATAATTCAAGGTTTAAACTTACGTTTTGAAGGAGACAATCTTGTGTATCAAGGAGACAATTGGTTTACTGTTTTACCCAATATGATTTTCAATGTTTAATGAGTAGATGTAAGAATGTGCTATTGCATATATTTGTTTTTGTCAAGATCGTTAGATTTGGAGAAATTTTTTCGCTCCCGTAAATTTAATATGTTTATTTCGCAATTGATATAGGAATAACAAGTTCCCTTTCATCAACTCTTCCACAGTTCCATTAGTCCATCGATCTATCAACAAAGATGGCGTAATGAAATTAAGATATATCATAATCACATTGATGGCCTTTTCATTGTTAAGATATATGTAAGAATGTGCTTATGCAATATATTATTTTCATCAAGATCGACAAATTCAGAGAATTTTTTTCTCTCTTGTAAATTTAATAAATTTTCATTTCGTAATTGATACATGAATAACAAGTTCCATTTCATCAACTCTTCCACAGTTTCATAAGTCCATCGATCTATCAACAAAGATGGCATAATGAAATTAAGATATATCATAATCACACTGATGGCCTTTTCATTGTTAATGGGGCATGCCTTCTCACCCTGAAAATTAGTCAAGGGGTTGTATATTACTTTTTTCTCGCAATTTTGTACAGTTAACATATCTCTTCTACCGTCAACGAATGAATATCCTACAAAATTTAGTTATCGACTTACATTGTACTCCAAGACAAGACTTTTAAAGTTTTAGTCAAAATTCAGTTCTCAATAGTTTAATAACTAACGACTCGTTTCTACGAGAAATTAATTATAATGATAATCACGCATATCATACTATATTTATTCACACCAAGTATGAAACCTTTGTGCAATGCTTTGAAGTTATCATAAACCGAGCTCGACACTTCTTATCTAGAGCTGTATGGTCCAATTCGTTAATTCAACTCAAACCCAGTAAACTCAAGATCCCATCGTACCAAAATCACACTATGAATGTATCGACTAACCAAGGAATCAAATCGACTCCATCTCGCTAAAACCCCACGATTCAAAGTAACCTAACGCATGACTCAGTACTCGAAAACCACTCAACTATCGTAACCGGTACATACTCATCGTATACACGAGAACTAACTACTTATGACAATTCATCTTCCTCTAACTAACTCCATTATCGAAAACATGCTGCAAACTGAATTATTTTCCCTCTCCTCTCCTCGATCATACATCATACTCCATTATTATGTATCTCCCAATGCAATGTGTTCATCATCAATCAGTATTGTCGGGGTGGTGGGATCGGGCGGGCACAAGGAGGCAAAGCAGTTTGGAACAAGATCATCATGTGTTGCCATCTATCTTTATTTCTCTAGTGCATGAAATGAAAAATCCCGTAGCTGCCTCATCGTTTTAGAACGAGACAAAAAGGACAGCCCACGATCACGATTTAGGGTTTCTCTCCTTGTGGGAGGAAACAAAATACGTACAACCCAACAAATGGAAGAAAGAATGAATGTTGTCTTAGTTAGTGCTAGCTTATCTCTGTGTAGTTGTTGGTTGGAAAAGAAGAAGAAGTATATATAGAAACTAGCTTATTACCCGGCCCGTTGGCCGGATTATTGTATGTTACCCACTTGTGGAATGGGAGAGAAAGCAAGTGAGAGTGAAGGCATTGGGATTCCACTTTATTAGGACCGACCCACTAATCCAATTCTTCCCGACCCGCCCCAACCTACAGGGTCAGAAAGAGTCAATAAGAAAATACGAACGGGGAGGATTAGTCATATATCTTGACTCTTCAGAAGTGGGTCAAACAGGATCAAGGTTGGGTGAGGGCAATTTATAGCGCTAAGTAGAGTTCTGGGTTGAATACCTTTACTTAGGCCTAGAAATCGATGCTGATGCAGATTGCAGTTTTTATTATACCATCATCAATCATCATTGAATTAGTCCTGGGCATCCCTCCCCGTTGTCGGTCTGAATTCTAATGATGGCTTCATTCCTTGCACCAGCCATATCAGCGAGTTGCCATCTCGAGCATGATTTGCCTATGTACAAATAATACAATTAGAGTATGAAAATGAATTCAATGAAAAGGAAAAGAGAATTCTATCACATGCCAATAAATACACACATAATAGTTGAAGCTAAGTGAAAGTCATTACTCGCACATCAATTCTCAAAAATTACAGACTAAACATTGGCTAGAATGGCACTGAAACTACCAAGAATCATGGACGAAACAACTTGTCAAATTAAATAATCCTTATACTGAAACTACCTTCTAACTTGAAATAAGACATGATCACAGTTCAGAGCTCTCTTCTCACTATGAATTGGTTGCAGCTCGTCCTTATCACTGCCTCTCAAGCTCAATTCAAACAGAATAGAGACCGTTATGTAAGATAACCATATTCTTACTGATCATAATTCCTTTCTTCACTCAATTTTTGTCGGAGAAAAGAGTTATCCTCCTCTCCTGCATTTCCCTTTCCCCCTCTCTTCTCCCTCTTCTTCACAAACCGATCCCTAAACCAGCAACAACAACACAAAAATAGTCTTCGCCTCTCCCGTCTCCATCTATTGAACGCGTTGGTGGCAAGACAGGACTGCAGAAGCAAAATTTTCTAAAACCAAACTAAATTTTTTGAAGCAGACTCAACCACGAAAAAAGAGTAAAGCAACAATGCAGTAGAACCCTAAATTTAACTACAATCAAGCACATATCAGCAAGATTTTCGATTTTTCTGAGAGTTAACTACACGGAGAGAACAATTGATGCATAATTGAAATGCTCCAAGCAAGTTGAAGGCAAACCATAACTTTAGAATTTGGTCATTATAATAACCTTCAAGTATTGATGCTTCTAAGAACTATCATGTCCAACCCCCACTTATACAACTACGTAGCCATAGTAATTAGTTGTATAATGAGAAATATTACAAAGAAAACTACATAAACAACCAATGTAAGTAAATATTAAAACTAACAACTGATAAAACTTAAAATCTCTCTATTGGTATAAATGTATCTATTAGTAACTACTATGCAATCGAGTATATATGATTTTTAGGCACTGAATAAGAAAAGTATAGATGGCTCACAAATGAAGACGTAGCAACTGAAGGTAGCACACAAAAACCAAAAATAGAAAAAGAGATAAGAAAAAAGGCGAGAAAAAGTCAAACAAAGAAAAAGCCCACATAGAAATACCTCGCTAGCTTTAGGGACTCTCTGCCACAACAAACAACCTTCTTAAAAATCTAACACCCTGAGACATCAAACAAACCTCCCACGACACTAATGTATGGCATTCCTATTGTCCAATAGGTTTGCCCAATTTAGACTTCTAAATAAATGGACTTTTCACCATTAAACCAAAACTCACAATCATTAACAGTTAATGCAAAGACATACATTTCTGAGGCCAATCACAGCATTTAAGCATAATTTTTAGTTGAAAAGAACAACTAAGTATTTAGCTAAATGATATAGTAGAATGGACACAATCTGCTACCTACTAATGATATAAACGTGTACCGGTACCATCGTTGTATCCTGACTTGCCATTTGCAACGGGCACTTTGAAAGACAGCTGCATTTTAGAGAATAAACACCCATAAGGGCGTTACGAAACCAAGCTTAATCCAAAATCTTCATATTCCACTTCGAAGACTCCATTTTCAAAAATAAGAGAGTTTGACATGTCAAATCACTCATTTGAAAAATCTCAAACAACTATTAATCAATGCAATATAAAGGCACGTTCCAAATTATGTACTTGTAGGAATAATCCCAAATAATTATCAATTAATGCCCCAACTACCTAATGTGCAGAATAGCCCTGGAGCTGTGTTGTTGTTTGCGTTGGTCTACCTTCAAACATAACATAGTTGCATCACGAACCAAAACAATTAAGCAAAAATCTTCATATTCCAAGTAGAATGACTCAATTCAATTTGGCCAACGCTTTATACATATTGTTTACCCCTGGACCTGTTGCACTTGCGCCTTCAGATCTTCATGAACACAATACAATTGCGGAGAGGAGGCTGTCAACGGAATAAAAATTGTTAATTAAGTGAATCACCATACAACTAAACAAACGCGCTCTTCTTGATTAGCTATCAAAATAGTGGGGGTCGCTACAATCCATCGGTTGC